CATAGGATCTTTGCTTGCCATTAATTGCTCAAATAAGTTGTAAGTTTATAAAATACAAATTTTATTTATAGCTTGCCCTTATAAAGACAATTACATTAAATATACAAGACTTATATGTACGAGTCTTTAAGATGTGACTAGATATCATAAAACCACTTCTATTCTTATGGTGATTCTTTCTAAATTTGTATCACCTAATAACTTCCAATCTAACTATCTAATTAGATTCTAAATTCTCTATAATTTAACTTATATTCTTAACTACCATTATAAAAAAAATATCAACTAAAGTTTCATTAGAGATCTTCAGATATCGTCTAATTTCTAGTGGATGCTAAACATTTCAATTTTTAGACATTTGAATACTAAATCTACCATGTCTCAAAAATCCAATACTCAAATACCATGAAATTTCATATACAGCTTTTTAACATAGTCATCTACACTTTTAAAAATTTTGAGCTAAAATTTCATCCAAAAATTCAAGATATGGCTCAACTTAAAACCTCTATGAATAGAATTTACTTACAAACTCTAATTTTAAAGCACTAACTTTCAATAGTTCTTTCTCTTTTGTTCCAAATTAGAATTTATTGATATTTTATATTAAATATAGTTTTTTAAGTCAGATTTTGAATCTCACTTTCTCTCTCTAAAAAATTTCACATAACTCCTTGTATTTACAAAAAAATGGTAATAGGTACAATTTCAATATCATAAAAATTCCGAATTTCTTGATTTTTGCACAAAAATTGTAGTCATCAATACAAGCTAACAAACCTTAACTCTTAAACTTCAAGTAGCTGCTCTAAAGTGGCCTCAAATCCCAATATGGTCTAAGACATCATCTTGATGTCTATTGGGAAAAACCTTCAAGTAATGGAAATAAAGTCGTCCATCAACTTCTCTTATCCATCTACATGGAATAGCCTTGAAGTCAAAATATTATACCTTTGACACCAAAACTCCTCTAAACTCCTTACCAATAAAACCTATACCTTTTATTTTTAATCACAAAACTTACACAACAAATTTAAACAAATTAAAGAAGTATTTTTTTTTGTCTTTTTTTATTTTTTTTATTTTTTATTATGTATATATATATTTTAATTACAACCCTAATTCTCATAATACTTCATATTATTTTTATATATTATGCTACTTTTTAGCACAACAACATATTATTGTATTACATATTGTCTAACTTGAGAATGCACTAGGCTCTTAGCTATAGAAGATATTCTTAAATTTTGAAACAAATAAAGAATCTATAAACCTTAATAAAATCTTAAATAAATCCAAATTAAACCTAATTAATCTTAATTAAATTTTAATTAAACTTTAAAGAAATTTCAAAAAAAATTAAAAGAATTATAAATAAATAATAAAAAAATCTAAAAATATATTAAAAATTAAATTCTAAAGAAATAATAAAGAATATTTTAAGAAATAATTAAAAATATCCTAAGTAAATTCTAAGTAAATCCTATTTAAATCTTAACCAAATTCTAATAAAATCCTAAGAACATTCTAAATTTTTTAATAGAATTTTAAATGAATCTTAATAAAATCCTAATCAAATCTTAACTAATCTTAGTCAAATCCTATGGTATTTTTAAAACCTCAATATTCATTAATTAAATTCTTGATTTTACTCTAAAATTTACATGCATTGCTATCTATTAGTTAAAAACACTTACAAGAGATTTTAAAAGAATCCAACTTATCAATTTGGAAAAAAAAAACTCTTAAGGTGCTTGGATGTTGGCTTTTTTCTTTCTCCAACCTTCATATTAATCTACCAACAATTATATCTCCTTATTGCATTACTAAATTAACTCCAATCTTTATAAAAACATTTCAAATAAAATTAATTAATAATTTATATAATTTTATATTAATTAAACTAATATATTATACAAAACAAAAGAAATCTTCATTAGCCCTAAAGATCCAAATTCCAAGATCCTTATTCAATTGAATTTTAATAAAAAAAAAAACCTTCATTTTATATATTTGATTGTATTTAAATTTATAAAATATTTTTAATACAAGAAAATTTACAAACCTAAAAATTTATACCCATCCATTTGCTATAATGCTTACAAAATTTTCAAATATTTAAACTATTTTTTAATTTTTTAAAACTCTAAATTACTTAAAACGCCTTTTATTTTGAAAAGATTCAAGTAACTCAATATCAATGTATATTACCCAATATCAATGTCTAAACAAATTCTATTAAGTGGACTCTCTATATTTGCTCTTTAATCAACAAAAGAATCCTAGAATTGCTATAGATGTGTGGTTTTGTGCTTTGGGGTCTAATCTTAATTTACAATTGGTCCTCATTGGATATTTATTTCTACTTTTTAAAGATAATTTCTGCTAAAACATACTCTTAATTTATTAATATTTTAAAATTTATAATAAAAAATCCTTATAAGAAAAAATAGATGATATTAATCTTTGCTATTATTTTGTACTAATGACAAAGCATTACTATTATGTATTGCAACAATAATTGTGCTAGTTCAACGCCAATGAACATCTTTTGCAAAAAATCCTAACTCTAATAGCACTTCACATACAACTATTGTTTCTTCCAAAACAAACATTCTATATATAATAAAGATATTTTTTAAATCATTAGACATACTTTTTGATCCACATATCAACTAACAATCAATGTTGTTTTTTATGAAATCTTATTGTTTGTAGTTGTTGATGCAAAAAATATTCTTTTTACATTTTTTAATAACTTTAAGCCAAAAAAGACTAAATTATTTAGTATTGTCTTTGAAAAAAGTCCATTTAGTACTAATATTATATCAATAATTGTGTTGCAACATATTATTCTACAAAAAAAATAATATTAAATATGCATTAAAAATTTATTTAAAAATATAGATAGTACATATTGTATAAATATTAAAAAAATAAAAATATCAAAATATTAATAATCTAATAAAAAATTATTGGATTAAGTTTTTAGAATATTTAAGAAATAATTGATAGCTACTCAAATAAACATTGATTAACTTTAAAGTTTTCCTAGAAGTAGAGGTTTTCTTTAGTATTTTGCTATCAAATTTGTATTCCAATTGTAGAAAACATATTTTTCATATTAATAAAAGTAAATTAAAAATCAGTAAAAGAAAATTCTTTTAATATACACTTTGTTTTTCTATTCAAGTAGAGTTTTTTTTTTTTTTTTTTTTTTTTTTTTAAATGTTAAGTCTAGAAAAATTGAAACAGTCTTTCTAATCTAATTTGATAGATATTTAGAGATAAAAAATAGCAACTAAGTAGGATTCTTATGTTGCATAATCTAAAAAATTATTTATTAGTAGATATTCATTGTATACATAATTTGATTTTTTTTTACTTTTACTGTAAAAGAGATCAACAAAGAAATTATTTTTATAAAAAATACGAGTTGGTACTTCTTTATCTTCTGTACTTGCCCCATCTACAGAAAAAGACTTGGTATTTATGTTAAAGACACAAACTAATTATTAATATTAAATTTGGAACACTGCATTAGCATATCAGATTTGAAAAAACAATTTTATTAAATAATTAGAAGAGAAAAGTATTGAATATTTTTAATGTAAAAAGTATACATTTTTAGAAAATAAGAATATTATAATACTAGATAGAAATCTAATATAATATAAAATAGAAATAATATATATATATATATAATAAGAATTATAATATATATATATATATATATATATTAAAAATATACTAAAATTACACTAGGAAATGTCTTTAAAACAAAAGCTTGCTAAATTTGCACAAGTTATCTTGGAAGCAAAGGAGTTTTAATCAAAAAAATTAACATGTATTTCTAATATTAAAAATAAATAAAAACAAGAAATTTAAAAAAAGTTTATTATTGATATTTTTGTAGTACAAATATAAGTTTCTACTAGTGTAAAGTATTATTATTATGTATCATACTATTTATTAGTATTTTACATATAAAATAGAACCAATATTTGTTAGGATATAAATTATTTTTAAAACAGTTACTTTGAAAAATTATATATATGTTACAATAAAAAAATAGGAATAGAAGATTAAATTTAAATTAAAAATTTATGAAATATTATAATTAGAACATATATTGAGTGTTGTCAATGTCACAAATTGTTTTGCAACTGCAACAATCTACCATCCACCACATGCCATCCACACCCTTTGTCAATGCTATATAAAAATATGGACTTATTTTTATTTATTTATTTATTAATATTTTATTCTATTTTTAGAAATACAACTATATTTTTTCTTACCAAAATTTTTATTAAAAAATAAAATAGAAAGTAATATAATTTATTCTTATTAAAATTTCAATATTTTTTATTAAAATTAAAATTACTTTCTATATAATTAAAAAAATAAAAAAATATTACAAATTTATCTAAATTTTTAATTAGATTCAAAAAAATATGTCAAGTAGGTAAATGTTTTTGGTGGTAGTAACAAAAATTATGATGGCATTAGAAATATATATATATATATATATATATATATATATATAGAATTATAATTCATTCAAATTAACCAATATGCAAAACATACATATAAGCATGTCATTATTCTCATATCATATTTTAATTTATATGTTCATAATATACTTGTTTTTTGAGTTAGAAATAAATCTGATTGTTTTGGGAATGGCAATATTTTACATTTAAACTTTTGACCTTTAACAATTATATTTATTAAAAAATTAAAAAATACATATATGAAAACTGAACATAAATAACATCTGAATTTCCAACCAAGAGGAATCATATGTATGTATATATAGAACCCTATATTTTTATAACTGTTATTTGTGTTTGGAAAACCCACCGGCAGTGTTAGTTAACTTCGGGCGCGATAATAGGGGGCCTTGACTCAGGGTTTCGAAGGGGTCGCTCATGATTGGGACCCAAGACCGCGGAAAGAAGCAGCTCTGAGAGCGTGGACATTTTGCTGCTTCCACCCTCGACGAGGCGTTGGAATAGGAGCTTGCTTGTTTGCAAAAGCTCTCGCATCGCTTCTGCTATCGGCGCTCATCTTCCGCCGTTCTCGCAACGCGCTCCTCTATTCTCTGCAGGCTCTTTAAGCTCTTTCTGACCTGCTTTCTGGGGCTCCTCTTTCGCTCATTCTGGCTCCAGGACGAGTCCAGTTCAAGGGTATAAAGGGAAATTAGGGTTTAAGGAAGTTAGTCTGATAGCTAGAGGCTCCGAGTTTTTCTCGGCGAGTATGGCCACCAAAAAGGGCGTAGGAAGAATTGTACACTTTGCAAATCTCCCGCTGAAGCTGCTCTTGCCGAATTCGCGGGAGAATATCACCGAAGTGGCCTTCAAAACCATCCCGAGTGCGTCAAAGGTGTGTATTATTGTCTCTTCTCCCTCTTTGTGAGTTCATTTTCTGGAAATTTCCCTGCGGAAAATCCTAATCGAGTGTGGAACGATATGGGATGCACTAGTGGCTAGATTGGAGCATCCATCTTCTGAAATGCGTAGTCCTTGTCTTAGAGTGCCAGTCTTGCATTATTAATTCCTGGAAATTAACTGCGCCCACAGATAGAGATCAAGAGGGTGCTGGAAACTTTGTATGGATTGCAAGTTGCGAAGGTGAACACCCTTAATATGGAGGGAAAGAAGAAACGCGCGAAAGGGAGCTTGGCATTTTATCGTAGACCTGATTACAAGAAAGCTTATGTGACGTTGAAAGAGCCAGTGTCTTTGCCTGCAAATCTATTCCCTTTGAATATGGTGAAAGAAGAAGAAGCACCTGAGGACAAGCCGAAGCAATAAGTCAGGACTAGTAGAGTGAGTTTGGACCCAATAGAAAATCCTATTCCTTTTAGAGAGTTCGAGATCTGACCTGTATGGTGGTATCTGTACATGGTCGCCAGCTGCTGATTTGATGTTCAAGCCTTTGTGGGTGATGATTATGAATCCAGAAAAGTGATCGTCCTGCGCAGCTGGAGTCACGGTGACAGAATCGATCTTCCGTTTACTTGTCGAGTTTTTCATACTGTCCTGGTGACTCATTCTTCAAAATTTCTGCACTTTAGAGACCCTTCTTCTCCTTCCTCTTGAATAATTTACAAAGTTATTGAATTCAACTTTCCGGTTGAGCTGGAAGGACTTCAGGAGCTTAATGATGCAAGGGAGTAATGTTCTGCATGTAGGCCATCAAGTGTCCGAAGCCTTCCATTAAAGGTGTTCAGAGAGATTGCTGAATGTGACTGCATTGCACCTCTTGATGCCGTAGAATTCCGAGAGCGCTGAAGCCTGCTTGTGGATCTAAATTGGTATTTAGAATGTGGGTGCAGTCTGGAGTGATAGTTAGTTTTTGTCGTGTCTGAAGTGCGCATTTCTTACAAGTGAATTGAGCCTTTTAAATTGCAGAAATAAGCGTTGAATTTCTGAGTCACATCGACCATTTAGGCTGGTTTAGAACTCCGCTATCCATCGATATGTATGATACTTTGGTACGAAACTAGTGGCAGAACACTTCGATCATGCACTATCTTTTCGCAGCAAGGTCTCATCATCGACTTGTGAAACAATTGCGTTTTCTTGTGATACTTGTAATAGGGGGGCTCAAACTTGAAAAAAAGGGTGGATATCATGATATACACCTTCCTGATTTCAGCACTGATTTCTAAGATTGTAAGCACTTAAATCAAATTTGATACAACCACCTCTTAGAGGTGGTTATAAAGAACATCCACCTCTTATATCAAATGTGATAAGTGCTTATATCCTTCGAAATCAGCGCTGAAATCAGGAAGGCGCATATCATGACATCCACCCTTCTTAAAAAAAAGTTAAAACCCCCTTAATGTTCACCAATATGGATGCCCTCTCTCCCCTAAGCTCTGAATCAATGTATTTGAATTCCTGCAAACAGTGTAGGTACCACAGGTGGGAACTGTTACGACGATGACACCAGTGGATTAAATTGTCCAATTTGCTGGTGGGGCCATTGGTATTACACCCTCGCTCCTATGGCACTCCCCTTCCTTCAGCAGCATCCACCACCTTTACATATCAGATTCTACTTAAGCAGAATCTCCATGAGATGAAAGAAAGGAAAAATTGGTTCGCGAAATTGTAGGTACCCCTTGAGTGACAGTGAAGAATTCGATATGGGACGTTAACGCAATATTGATGTTGTTGCCTAAACTCAAACCACACGGTACGATCACTTTTCTAGATCCAAAAAGGTTTTAACATCATAACATCAACTTGAGAACATCGATCAAGTCTGGCTCGGAAATGCCTAGGACATGTGCTTCAGTTTGTAGACCATTTTGCTTGGATTTCTTCGAGTTGAACGGATTGTAATCATGCCTGCCAATTATTGGGTGCACTGTCCTTCATTACAGAGATTTGTTTATACCTAGGCGGGAATCCTTCTGAGGCACACAAGGGTGATGTAATCAAGATTATCAAAATTCTTTTCCTTCGACGAATTGTCATCAGGTGTGTCACTATTTCACAAACAATTTCAAGGTGTTGCATAAGAGTATTGTTCTTGACGTGTGCTTGGTAACGGGAATATTTTTGACCGATGGAGCTTCTGCTCGTGAAGCCTGGATAAAAAAAATTCCGTATGTTCCAGATACAATTTTCAGTAGAATACAAAACTAAAGTAAATCAATCACTAGTCTCGGCAAAATAAGTTCATCCTCCTAATAGTATTCTAGAAAATTGAAATAATATAATGATTAATAAACTACGATTTCCATTGCTGCTGTGTTCAGCACCTCCAGATATGATATACCAACCTTAAAATCACAGTTTTTGCCACTAATTTGGTTTCATAGACAGCTGCATCTTTACCTTTCTTATCTATTGCTACACATTGAGAAATCCAGTGACAAGGATGAATACATTGCGACAATTGGATCTGCTCAAGAACTGAACCTATAGAGATCCGATCAATGCAGAATCACCACTCATTTGCTTCCAGTAAGACATTTTCATGCAATTAAATGGTGAAACTAAAATAGGAGAGAACGTATCCAGTTCAAGCCCTTGAGGGCTGACTTGACGGGTCTGGGAATGTTCATAGAATCCAATCTGCTTTGGCCTGGTTTGATAACCAAAACCTAAACGACACAAGCAGATCACACAAATTATTAATACCATAATCCAATGCGCAACTCGTGCTGGTAGCAAAAGATTATCCCTGTCTACAGTTTCTAAAAAGGCCCCTCACCTGAACTTTGCGACGACCCCATTGAAGGGCAGTCTTGTGTGAGCGGTGGTAGAGATCAATGCGATGCGGCCCCTTGATTGCACCCCCTCGATCCTCTACCTGCAATTTTCAATCCCATTCTTAAACAAATTCCAGCGAAAAGGTGCCATGTGTGAACTTGTGAGGCATGTGGATTACTGTTTGAAAATGATGAAAGTGTCGAGGATCGAGTTTGCAGAGCAGAAGAAAGCTGAAAAAAGTGAAATAGGGCTTGCCTCGCCCCATCCATAGCCAGGAATAAACATGCGGGTACCAAACGGGTAGTAGTTGGTGTCGGCGGCGATGGTGCCATGGCGTGGCAGAAGCTTCCACGGAAAGAATAGCAAACGAGCTGGTAGGTTTTGGTAGTTCATCAGACTCAGCTTCGAGAAGAGAGGTGGCCGGGCCTGTTGTAGACGTATAAACCGAATTGTTTAAGATAGAGATAATACACCTTTAAAAATTTCTAAGATCTTCTTATGAATCTTTTAGAGAGAATTAAAATTTACTCTGTCAGTAAACACCATACTCAGACCTCTTGCTGTCATAATCAAATCGGTAATTATATTTTAAAAGGAGTAAGACAAACCTGAGCTGGAAAGCTGCCATTTGAGGTAAGGCCATAATAGGGTTGTCCATTCTGTGTGGTTGCCGTCCAAAACCTGATCACGGGAGACCACCTTTCACATTGCAAGAAGAAGAGGTAACGCAAGATAAAACCCACTAAAGGTACGATGGGCCAGCTTTATATTAATAATTCGAATCTTACTACGCTTTTCATGCGACTGATCAAAAATTGACGCTGCGTTTCAAACGGATTGCGTGGAATAAGGTTCCGGTTCAGACGCAAGAAGTCCATGAGATTTGCAAGCACCGATCTTATTGTCTAGGTATGTACCGATGTTAAGCTTTTCTGTATGCTTTTGGAATAAGGTTTCACGAACAAAAACTTCTTGAACTACATATACAAGATGCAACAAAGATGAATTCGCAGCTACAGCCTTGATCTACAAGGCGTTCAGATCCGACATCCGATGTTTATTTAAAGTGGTTTCTTAGTGAATTTCCTGAAATAGTGCAGAGAGTAGCACACATACTTGCAGAAAAAAGGCAGTCTCTGGTGCTCTCTATTGCCCTTCTTGCGAGTACGAAGTCGCACTGGCATCAATGAAGGGGAGAATCCAAGATAAAATGGGAATGCGGATGGTAGCCTCAGACCCCATTCCCAATTGCAACAATAACCGCATCTGCAGTGACATAACAAACTCGTCAACTTTGTCATCGTAATATGGACATTTCCGAGATGATTGTCTCACAATTCCACATGAATTTTCAACTATTGTAGGGACATTATTTCCGATATAGAGACAACACGTTAACGTTAGAAGAGCTAAGCCATTCAATTCAAGAGGAATACAAGCCTAGAGTCGACGTACACCCACAACAGCAGAAAACAGTAGACGATCCACAAATTCACAGGTACATTATGTTGCTTGCTCACACTACAAAGAAAGAATTAAGAGGCACGAATCGTGTACAAACCTGCAGTAGGCTGTGCACTCGATTTCAAGCGTGTATGGAGGCATGGCCAAGGAACTACTAGGGTTTCGGCAGAATGTCTAATCTCATGATATACACCCAGAGCTAGTCGCGATGCGTAGAACCTAATTCGCAGTGCCCAATTCCCACCCTCCAAACACCAAAATCAAGCTCCAGAATGCACCAAACCTCATAGACCCACTTCTGGGGTCTAGTAGCAACCCAACGATTGCCGCTGCACAAGTTGCTTAATCAAATCGGACATTTCCTTCACCCCAAAAAAGTGCCGAACAGTCTCCCCGAATTGCTCTACCCCCCAACTGCTACCTCGGCAAGCAAAACTACGACCGTGTCAAAGGGGTATAATCCAATCACGCCTTTGATCCTATGATGATAGTTCTCAAGCTTCACGTCACCGAATCCCACCAACTCAGCTTCCTCTGAAGCTTCTGACAGCACCTCAGAGCTTACGGATAGCGGCGTTAGACAAGCTTTGCGAGATCTGCGAGCACACACGAGAATGGTGCGACGATCCGAAGGCACGCAGGGGGTCTTGCGCTCCTCCCTTTCACCGCAACAGTTCCTCTGTATTTCCACTTTTACGTTTTGTCTTCACTTTATCCTTTTCCTCGATCTCGATTCCTTTTTTCTTTTTCTTTGATCTCGATTTGCTTTCTCTTTATCTTGTTCATTTAAACTCATGGTGTGCCCTTCAGCTTGTTGTCTGAATGACTTGCTACTTAAAGATATTCTTTAAACCATTTTATCACATTGTAGTATAATTGAATATTTGTAGTATTCAATTATATGCACCAAGGATTTTTCTATTTTACATTTTTTGATATAAGAATCTAATTGCATTATAAATAGGCACTTGAACTTTTTAGATGTTTTTTTTTGTAAGAAGTAAAGTTTAGGATTAATGGTTGTCATATCTTTTTTTTTTTTTTTTTTTTTTTGAAATATGTGCTTGTGGGAAGTGATGACCTCTATGAGGCATGGTTAATTGTTGCAAGTTGCCTCAGACTAGTAAAATAATGCAATCTTAATTGAGGTGGTATTTCATTTTATAATTGTAATTGATTCTAAGTTTGTTGAGTGGGTTTTGGAATTGCATTTGTATCAATACTTAAGCTAATTTTTTAATTTCTTATGTCGTTTGGTCTACTCAATTATCTCTAAGATTCTATTGAAGTGAAGTTGTAACTAAATGTCCCTCTTTATCTACTTTTATTTATTTTTAAATTTTTTTTTCTCCTCTATAAGTTCTTTAAATCCACGTTATTGTATTGGTAATTTTGCTAATTGAACTTTTCTATGTTAATTTTTCTAAAGAATAATCAAGCAATTGAATATAGAAGTAAATATTAAAAAATTAAAGAATAGCTATATAACTTAGTATTAAATTTGAATACACCAAAAGATTTATTTAAGAAAATTGAGAGTAGCAAGAGTTCTAAGATATAGTTTATAATTTATTTTGTACATAGTGGAATTGATAACAAGAAGAATGTATTAAAAGTTAGAATGTAGCACCAACAAAACATTAATAAGAAATAACTCTTGAGAGTTAAAAACTACTTGATAATAAGAAAGATTGAGAAGTTAAAGAAAATAATATATTTATAAAATTAAAATAATAAATTAAAGTATCAAAAATAATATTAAAAAATAAAAGTATAAGAGATAATATTAACATAAAAAATTAATGAAAGAAAAAAATAATATATAAAACAATGTCTTTTATATTTTTTGGCCATAACAAAAATTAAAGTTGTTTTTGCATGCAATTCCATTTATTTTTTAAAACTAAAAATAAACAAATATCTTATAAAATATTGACTTAAAAATGATAAATTTTATTATAAAAATATTTATGAAAATTTTATCAAATCTCTAAATTATGTGTTGATCTTGTTACTTTATAAAATTATAAAAAACCTTAAAAAGATAGTAATATATTTATATTTTATAAAATATATTTTTTTATTTTATTTTAAATATTAAGTTAAGATATTCTATAAGTAGATGTCATAGACATATATGTTTATTTAGATTAAAGGAATTAAACAAAAATAAATAGAAGTAAGTAAGTTTTAATAATATCTTATGGAGAAGCTTCTTAGAAGCTCTATAGATGCAGATTTGACTTTGTATCTATTTATAAATGGTTGATAGGTTAAAAACTTGCCAATAAATTGGCTATGTATTGCATATGTTGGTGACTTGTAATACAAGTTGGTCATATGGTCCACATGTGGAAAACTTGTCTTACAAGTAAAACAAGTGTTTTGCAAGTTGGACATGTGTTGGAGGTCCTATAGAATGTTGCCATGTACCTCTTACTTAGATGGTATATATAGAGGCAAAAGTAAAGCCTTTTTGATTCTTATTAATGCTTTTCTTATTCTTAGTCTTATTTTCAAGAGCCTTTAGTATTCTTGTCTTTGGAAATAATTATTTTAATTTAATATTATACTATCTTAGAATAAATATCTACTCTTTTTGAGTGACAAAAGAATACATTGATTCTTTGGTTTTTTGTAGTTCATATCTTTGGATATTTTTGAAAAAAATGTTAATTCATTATTCTTGTTTTGTTTAGAATTGAGTGAATTACTTCATTTCTTTTATTTTATTTTAAAAGTTGTAAACTACCTATTTTTAAATTAATATTTTTTATTTTTTAATATTAAAATTTTTCTTACAAAGAATAAACTACTTCTTTTTGTGGAAATTTTTACTTAATATTAAAATTTTTGGATTATTTTCTTTTAATTTGACTTAAAAAATTATTAAAGTTATTTATTATAGAGATGGAAGGAAAAATTATGGATGCTATACTCAACAAAAATGAAAATAGACTTGTAAGTAATTCTTCACAAGCTTACTAGTATTTTTAGAGTCGAAATTTCACGTATTATCAACATCAATTATAAAAATACTATTCCTAAGTCTATTAAAGAAATCAACAATAAATTATAATGTTTATGCCAAAAAATTATGTAGTTGAAAGAAGCAAGTAAATTAACCTCACTTAAATTTGAGTAGTCTTAGTACTATAAGTATTAGAGAAGTAAGAATAAGTATGCTAAAGAAGTGTAATAGAACCAAATCAAAATTTTGAGGATTTCAACAATAATTCAAGCTTTATTTAAGATAGTATCCTTTCTAACACTTCTATGGATTTAATCAAATTAGATTTATAAGCATATTCTTTTTTAGAAGAACACTTTTATTATTTGTATCTTTGATAGAAAAGAATTCACAACTCTTCTATGATTTAAATGCATTCTTGCAAGTGTTTATGACCACATTTAAATAAAATAATTGAAAACAATAGCAAAAACCAAATTTTTATCTTTACAACAAGGATTACATTCAAACATCAGATATGTTGTCAAATACCAAAACCTTGCTTTTAAAATAGATTAGAATAAAAAAGCTCTTATTAATTAATTTAGTTATGAATTGAAAAATAATATAAAACACTTATTATTGACAATATCAAAAATAGACTCATTAAAAAAATTTATTGTTCAAGCCATTACATAGAATAATTAATTATTTGAAATATGCAAAGAATAATTAATTTGCTTAAAGAAGAATAAATTAAATCACAAAAAAAAAATTTAAGTTTTCAAAAACTTCTTCATCAAGGTCAAAACCTATGCAAATTGACATAATATGTTTTAAATATCTCACTAATTAAGAAAATACTTCATGTTGTCAAAAAAATATTGTTCTTATATTATAAAGTATCTAAATATATCATACAATATTTTCCAAAGAAATAATACAATTATAAAATGAGAAGCATGGTTTCCAAAGAAGATGATATATTAAAAAATAAGTTTGTCCAACTATAATATAGACTCTGCCACTAGAATCTTTTGTAATATCCAATAAATATTCTATTCTCTTCTTAGATCCATTACCTTATTTTATAATAGTTTTTTTTTATTTAGAAATAAATAAATTACAAAGTCATTGTTTTGTTAGATTTAAGAGCCTTAGCTTATTTTATAGATAAAAACTTTGTTAAAAAAAAGAATATTTTTTTTGTTAAGAAAATTAATCATGTATATATAGAAGTCATAGATGATCATTTATTATCTTTTAAAGATGTTATTTATGAAACTATTCTTTTAGATATAGCAAACAATGGACATAATAGCTTAATGATATTTAATATGATTATATCTCCTTTAAATCTAATTATTTTAAGATTATTATAGCTAAAGAAGTATAATCCTCAAATAGATTGGATTTCTTATAATATTAATTTTTTTTATAGCATATTTTAGAATTTTATTATCTAAATAAAAAAAACATAAGTCCAATACAATCAAATCCTTATTTGTAGATATAAGAATTTTATATATGCTACAAAAGAAAGGTCATTTTTTGCTATTTACACCACACCTATTTTTGATCTAAAAAATCTTCAAGTGGCATTTCAAGTTAGTATTAAGATTTTTGAGTTATTTTTAAGAAGAAAAATAAAAATATTTTTTAAAAATATTATCCTCATGATTGTTTAATTGATCTTTAAAAAGAAGTTCAATTACTATTTGGACCAATCTGTAGCTTATTATAGAATAAATTGGTTGTTTTTAAATAATACATTGAAAAGAATCTAGTTTAAAACTTTATATGCCATTAAAAATTTATAGCAAAATTTTCTATTTTATTTGTTAAAATAAAAGATGGATCACTATAAGTATATATACATTATCATGATTTAATAATATCACCATCAAGAATATATATCTTCTCCCTTTTTTTTATTAAGATTTTTTGATCAATTAAATTAAGCAAAGTTTTATATCAAAATATATCTACAAAGATTATACAACTTAGTAAGCATTAAATAATAAGATAAATGGAAGTTCTTATTTAAATTATATATATATATATATATATATATATATATATATATATATATATATTGAATATAATTCCATAGCTTTTAGACTCACAAACATACCAATTGCTTTTTAATTTTAATGAATGATATTTTTTGAGAATTTTTGAATTAGTTTTTTCTTATTATCTAAATAATATTTTAATCTATTCTAAGAATATAGAAGAATATGAACTTCATCTTTGTTCTATATTACAAAAATTTAGAATTATAAGACTATATGTCAAGATGACTTTTTATATAATTTAAGTTGACTTTTTAAGATATATTATTTCAAATAATGGCCTTATTATGGATCATAAGAAAATTAAAACTATCATAAATTAGAAGATTCTAAAAACAATAAAAGATGTCAAATATTTTTTAAAATATACTAATTATTATTAAATCTTTATTAATTTTATTTTAGATTTTAACTCAACTTATATAAATAACTTATAAAGATAGATTTGAATGAAATAAAGAAGCTCAAGCATTATTTTTAGATTTGAAGATAGATTTTTTTTTTTTTTTTATTAATCTTATATTGCATTGAATTTTTAATTTTTTTTTTATAATAACTTATATATTAAAATTTGCCTTGAATGAAGTATTGTCACAAATAGTAGTAGATAAAAAA